AGTACTAATCATCACATTTCAATGAAACTTTGTACATGGATGCTGTAGGACAATAAACAATTGTGGGTTAAAATCTGTACATATTAATTACTAATTTACATAATTAACCACTTTTAAGCTATCACACTGATATCTAAAGTACTAATTATTCCATTTCAATGAAACTCAAAGATGCTCTAGGACAAACCTGATTAGTTTGGGGTTAAAATCTGTTTATATTAATTCCCTAATTAGCATGATAATTCATAATTTTTTTTGGTTCCAATCACATTTCAATAAAACTTGGTACATAGATGGTCTGTTACATTGCGCAGACCTCATTAGTTTTCCATTAAAATCTGTTCATATTAATTTTCTGATTTGCATTATTAGTTTTCGGCTTTTCCATCACTATCACTATCTATGACAAGTAATTTTGAATTATATTTAATGTGTCTTCAATACTCTCAGCACATGGGAGTTCTTTCTAAGCTATCTTTGATTAAACTTCTTGGTGCCTTTTTTTTTTTTTTTTTTTTGTATACCGTCATTATTGTCTACCCGACAAGACACATGGCAAACATTGTACTATAACTACATTGTGTAGTTCATTCAAATAAACCACAATTATTTATGATGATGCGCTGTTTCATGCAAGCATGGAAATAAATAGGAAGCTCCATGATGCAAGTAAGAAAACTGCTTACAAAAGATTACGTGGGCCCGTGAGTGTTGAATAATGCGATTCAATAAGTGCTTTCAAACCACAGATATACAATCAAATTTATTTGTTATTATGAATAATCTTCCCTTTTCCTTAGCCTTGTCATCCACTTACTTTTTGTTTGCTATTTGCTGAATATTGCTTTTTTTCATTGGCATAGAAATTCAACAGAAATGTGGCATTTAAAACTATTGATTTGTGTGTTCTTGATAACAGGTGACTTCTGTAAAGAAAGAATTGAATGGTAAACTAACCTTAGATACAACTACTGGTGCAATGAATGATGTTGATTGCCTACTATGGGCTATTGGTAGAATTCCAAATAGTGATATTGGACTTGAAAAAGTGGTGAGTAAATTATCTTTTCAATATCCAAATTATATTAAGTAAATGTCAGTACAGTTTTCAGTTTAATTTTTTATAATTTTATGGAATTACCATTGTATTGTAAATTATTTCATATTTTCATATTCTATATTTTCTACTGTTTGACATTGACCTTCCAGTAATGCATATAATTACTGAGGTATTGTCTGTTGCCATGTGTTCTGAAAACCACTTGTTGAGAAATATGTCAATACATGTAATTGCACTTGCAATTTGCAAAATAAATGTCAGGAGAGACAAAAGTAACATTCAATCTCCCAAAATGCCTTCTTGAACAAAAAACAAACAAAACTCTGTCGTTTAATGCAATGTATATTTTATGTGTATGTATTTAGGGTGTAAAAGCTGATGGACGTGGTAATATTATTGTTGATGAATATCAAAATACGTCAACAGCAGGCATCTATGCCCTGGGGGATGTCTGTGGCAAGGCTTTGCTTACACCTGGTAAGTTGAGAGTCTCATTAGTCTTGTTCAATGCCAGGATCCATTTGTTCCTCTGACGTTATTTCTTGGACAAAGGCAAGACTTTATTATTCGGACAGTCAGATTCAACGAGTTTCATCTTGAAAAACTGCACTTTTTACCCTTGGTTATATAATAATGGAATGATCTATTTAATGCCCATGTCAGTGTAATAATACTATCAATTCTAGAGAGTAACCAAAGCATTCTGGAAAGTTTCTTGCTATCTGAATATTTCTCAGAGCCACTGTAATTGTTTGCATATTCTCTTCATGTGTTTTGTGGTTTTGATGGAATTTAACTGAGTGGCGGTCACTTTTGTCCGAAAAACTTAAAACACAAACATTAATCTTTGGCATGTCTGTACTGATTTTATTTATACACCGCTGCCAGATAATCTATGGATATGATCATTACTACTTGCAGACATCACTCACTGATAGTCACCAGTGGTAGTGTCTATCATACATTGACTTACACCAGGTCTCTGCCTGGTGTGTTTCACATATACTGCTGTTGTCATGAAATGCATAATTTTACACTCTTTCCATGCAGAAATCTGCAAATTATCATCCTGTATTTGGGCTTAACTTTCCCTTGTTGATTAAAGTTGATACAAAGCAGGTACATAATGGTATACAATGTACCTAAGCACATGATTTGGTTTGCATTTTGATGACATTCAAAACCAGTGGTTATTTGTTTTGTCTTGCATGTTTCTTGGGCATTTCTGGGAAGATAATAAGAATGATCTTATTCCCAGTAAATGTCACTTTGACTAAAATCTGGATAAGGTGCCATTTGAAGTAACACTGTATTTTTAACAGGCTGAATTACTCCCGCAACATTTAATTATAATCTATCTACATCTTTTATTGTTTATATTTGACACTATAAATTGGACAGGGTTTATGTCATTGAAAACTTACCTTGAAAACAGACAAGGATAATGGCAATGATATATGTTTAGACAAATCATTACTATCAC